AATAAAAAAAGAGAAATCTGAAGAAATCTCTGTACACAATCAGTCGATGTACACAAGGGACAAGGTAGTAAACCAGTATTGGATGGCCGTGATCATCAGTTATCATCCTACTTTTCACTAGGCTTCATGGACCTTCTTAGTGCCTTTACACATATTGTTTTGGTTCTTTAGTCCACATCTCTGCTGTTTATGGATCACCCTTTCAAACTGGATTTTCTTAAAAACTGTAATACATGTTTTTTAACCGCAGAGTAATAGAACGAGTTCTCAGTGATACTAATATATTTTGCACATTGATGCCATCAACATGCCACAAACTATAAACTGAGTCTTTTGCAATACAGAGCATTCTTTTACCTTCTCTAATGAGTAAATAACCCAATTTCATAAATAGATATCTTAGCTTGGATAATAATTTCTAAGGCAATTTGCTACAAAGATTCACTGATACATTATCTTGGTAAACTCAAACTTTACTCAAGACATGAAATGTACTCTAATGAAAACACTCTTGTGTGGCAGGTTCAATGAGGACATGAAGTTCATGATAGGATACAAGCCCTCCATCTTCTGGCAGGTTTCATGGAGATTCACTAGTCCTCTAGTCGTTCTGGTTATTTTAGTTTTCTATTTGGTTACCCAAAGTCAAGAAGAGCTCACCTACTTAGTCTGGGATCCAAAATCTGTAAGTACACAAGCTCCATGATCAGCTATCATATCATTTTGAATTCCGATCTAATAATATGGAATGCTAGACATTCATATGTATATGTTGTTCTTCTTTTTCTACCTCTGCAAATGTTGGACAGTGAGTGCATATGAACACACTTAACATGTTTTGTGCTTTACAGGACCAGTTTCCATCCCTGGCATCAGTACCGTACCCTTCATGGATAAATTTGATCATCTTCATTTTGGCAGGAATCCCAAGTCTTACAGTGCCTGCATACGCCTTATGTAGATTGGTCTTTGTTTACTTCAAAAAGACTAATAATTAAATACAAAAGGTTTACCAACTTTTCTTAACTTTTCAAACTCACTGTAAACCTATAGTAGCCTTTAATTAAGTGCATCACATACTAGCAAACATCTTGACAAATTGACATTATATTCAGTCAGAATTAGAAATTCTTTCAAATACTTAATGACATTGGGTTTGTATTTCCATGTTTCAGATCAGATATTTATTGTGTTATTCAAGCATTTAATTCTCTTAACCAATCAAAGATATAACCTTTTGGCAACTTTCACGTTATTCACACAATTATAATTCTGCGCTACAGAGCCACAATTTAATGTTGTATTTAAATCGTTTAGAAAGGATTGAAGCATTTTAGCTAAAAAACAAAAAACCACTATGACATTAAGAGCAAAGCTTTTTGTAACTCACCACGAATAGAGAAATTAATATGTTCTGATGCCAGGGGTTCTTCCCAGGTACAAAAGTTCACTAAATTGCATTTAATTGCATTTCTTTGCTAAATGTTTTGCACCAAAACAAAAAGTGAAATTCCTTGTATGTGTAAATGTACTTGGCAATAAAAAACTATCCTGATTCAAATGTACCTTAAATGCACAAAGTATTATTTTTGAAAATTTGTAATCCTTCCTTGAAGTGCATTAGACATGCATGTTTCTGTATTTTGACTTCTCAAAAGTATACTTTGAATACTTGTGTAATATGATTCATTTGCTTTTAAAAATAATGTTAAAATGTAATCCTAACGGTCCGCAAGGTGAAAATCACGTTCAGCCTACTCCATTGGAATCCTGACAAAAATCCTGAAAACTTTGGCAGACCCTATTTGGAAAAAATAAAAGTTTTTCATGATGTTTGTTGCAGAGATGCCAACTACTGGGAAGACAAGACAGGCAAAGAAAGAGGGAAAACAACGAAGCAATCGAAGTTAAAAGATTTAGGGACACAGCATGTTGAACGTCAAGAAGCAGAAGGCTAGCATGGAGGCAGCAGTGCAAAATGGAGAGGAGCTCACAAAGGTTAAAGAATAGTACTGAGGGCAATAAATAATCTGAGGTCCGAGTTTACGAGACGATAAGGTTGTGGTACAGTTGTAGAGTTGGTCGCCTCTCAACCAGAAAGTCGAGGGTTTGATCTCCAGCTCCTGCATGTCGGATAAATCCCTGAGCAAGAAACTTAACCCCAAATTGCTCCCGCTGCTTCTTCTGTGGCGTATGAATGTGTATGAATGGGATTAGTTAATATACTGATGGACACTTTACATAGAATAAATTCATACAGGAGAAGTAAGGCACTTGAAGAGAAACTAACTTACATGAAGACGAGATTCAACTTGAGGTTGGTGAACCTCCCACAGGGAGCTGAGGGGCTGGACCCCTAATTGTTTTTGGAGAATTGGATACTGGAGGTACTAGAGCTGGATCCTCTGCTGTGTCCAATAGTGGTGGAAAGAGCTCACCACGTCAGGCCAAGGAAAGATGACAGAGCCTCATTGAGAACCTTAATAATGAAATTCCTGAAATATAAACATAAAATTATTGTGATGATGTCCTGCCAGAGACAACCTCTACAAGAACCAACATGTGAGATTCTATAGCGACCTCATCACTGAAGGGCAAAAAAAAAACGGAGGCAGTCCGACTCTGCAGAGCTGAAGCAGCCGAGCCTGGGACTCATACACAGCATCATACATCTGGCTATATGAGTAGCACGTATAATGCCAACTACTGTTTGTAGGCAGAGTATTTCAAAGCTAAACAGACACACCAATGCAGAGGCAGAGGCCTGGGGGCTGGTGCTAATTTGCATACATTAATAAATCAAATCAGATCTGGAAGAGCCCTTTCACTGGGCCTTAGTTTCAGGGGCCCAACTTTTGCTTTGGGCGGGCCTGATTTAACTGCACAAGCTCTTTTACGTATTAATGGTTTGTGAGTGTGTGTGTGTGTGTGTGTGTGTGTGTGTGTGTGTGTGTGTGTGTGACCTAGCTATACACTTTGTTTAAACATGGTGAAGCTGTTAAGTAGCACATTGGCCAAGAGGGGGAGAGCTCACACTGACTGAACAACCACAGAATGGAACTAAGGTCATAACCAGACACAATAGCTTGCTGATGGAACAGGTGCTCAAATGTTTAAGACTTGATAGCTACATAACATACCAAAAGGTAGATCTAAATGGCCAACAGGGTACAGCCTATACGTTCTCAGGTGTGCATGGTTGCAGGAACATACCATGAAAAATTGATCAAAACTCTGTGGCACACCGAAAGTATCTTTACTGTATTGTATTGTGAGCGAATAACGAGTATCACCTGTAGCTTCCTTAGGTTCGCCCAGTACGTGCTGTCATACCAAAAGGTATTTTTAAACTATTTTAAAAAACATAAAGGTTAGGTGAAGCTTATTCTGGCCATATTTAACTTTGCCACTTTGGTGCACTTGATCAACTGCCAGACTTATTATTTAATGATTAACAAAAACATTGATAAGCAAACACATGGTACACCCGTCCATTTGACAGGTATATGATGTATCTGTATCTTGATTAATGAATAATGACTTTCATACCACTATAGTCAAATCATGACAGGTCTTTAAGGAAACATAAATTATTCAAAGTGTCTCATCATTCAAACATCGGAACTCTACAGACATTTAAGTCTTACAAAAATATATTCTCAGAAAATGGGACTATAAATGATAATATATATATAAAGGACAGTACTTAGACTGTACTCATGTCAGTGATTGAATAACTGAGTTTGGCAAGAGCTCATCTTTATTGCTGCTAGATTTGTCATCTGCCTTTGAAACACTGAACCACCAAATCCTCCTATCTACATTCTCTGAGCTTGGTATCTCAGGACCTGCCATCTACTAGTTTATGTCCTTCCTCTCAGGGAGATCCTTTAGAGTATGTTGTCGGGGAGATGTGTCCAGGTACACAAGGTGCCCAAAGGGTCGGTCCTCTTCTCTTCTCAATATAGACCAAAACACTTTGTGTCATGATCCACTACCATGGTTTCTCAAACCAGTGTTCAACATCCATGTTTTATTTACCCTTATTTTCATATTTGGACACAATGTCATGCTACTGTTAATTAACTTTCAGGTGCATTTATGATTCTCTACTTGATCCTGCTAGTCCTGGAAGGAATGCCTCTCTTGCTGATGGAGTTTGTTATTGGCCAGCGTGATATTGCAAAAAGATAAAATTCACTAGTGGTGGCTTGTTATATCAGCTTGCTCATTGCTGTTTTTTCCTCTATTCTATTATTTTGGGTTGCCCCCTTGTATCTGTGGAGGTGGTGGGATCCAGGATGATGATGGCAAAGTTACGGAGTATATTACCAACCCTTTGCATGGCACAGTAATAGCTAGAATTGTACAGGCTGCTTGAATGACAGACTGACTTTCATAAGTGAAGGAGATGTACTTTTGAATTTTTTTAAATGTTTTTACTTGTAGAGTCAGGCATTTAAATCGGAAAGAAAGAAAGCACAGCAGGCTTAAAACCAATTTCAAAGTGTCAACAGCAAGTAGAGTGATGTACCTGGACTGTTCACAGATGTTTTTTTTAATCCATGGCCTTTTTGGAGGTTTCATCTGGTTCTCGAGATACATGTCTACTCAAATAGCAACCACAGCTGTGATTTCTATTCAGCAGTTCTCTTCATGTGATCACTGTTGTTCATAATTTTATTTAACAACTAATGTGAGCAGGAGCCATAAATAACAGCACCTCAATGTACACTGCAGTGGTTATCTACCCCATTATCAGACTCAGGGTCAAACAATAATATGGCAACTGCATGGAAGAGTTGGTTTCAAATTGGGCAAAAGGTCAATTACTCCGAGACCAGAAGATTCAAACCCTGTGTCTTCACTCAGGGGAGGTTGCTTTTTATCAAGCCACTGTTTATTATGCTGAAAGTTTAATAAATTGTATGACTGAATGACTGAATGGAGTATGCGATGGCTAATCTTCTCAAGGAACAAGATAAAGAAAAGGACCATAAACCTGTTAAGACGTTGCCGGCTGCACATAAGCCCTCACTTTGACTTCCAAGAACAATAGAGTAAGATCTCTGATTCTGTTGGGGCACAATGAGACTTGTACTTCCTAACCCCGGTCTGGATGATAGGATCCCTTCCTTTGAAGATCTGAAGAGAATGGACAAGGAGGAAGGAGGAGACAGGCCCAAGTGGGACAACAAAGCCCAGTACATCCTAACCTGTGTGGGCTTTTGCGTTGGAATTGGCAATGTCTGGCGATTTCCTTACCTGTGTCAAAGTCATGGAGGAGGTAAGTCTGTTCATTCTTGAATGGCCTTTTAGAAATGATAATGTAGTTTTGGTATTGAACTGCCCTACCAGGAGGGACTTGTATGAACCTTGCAGAATTAGTAGAAAAAAGACCATGACTGTTATTAGATAACTAAACAGTGACCTACTCACTAACCTGTCCCATTGTGCAAGAAATTACCTGAATTTTGTTTCAAGTGAGTCATAAGCATTTAACATACTGTAAACTGAATCACCCAGAGAGAGATAGTGTTCTAGGGCGAACTACTGAATCTGGACAATTGTCAACTCACTGTTCAAGCCCTTTTGCCACAATCACCTTATACTAACTTAAAACTGTTTTTACTACATAAAAAAGACTGAAAATTAAAGCAAACCCTTCTACATGAGCTACAAAAGAAAATGAAACCATGCATTGATCATACAGGGATGTTAATGCCTCTTACAGCTGACACTGGGCCAGTGTTGGATGAAGCAAAGTATAGCATGCTTCCAAAAGAGCATTTGTTTTCAATTTCGAGATCAAGGTTCACAGTCACTGGGGTGTCCGATAGCCTAGTGGTTATGTTGTGCGCTCCATGTACAGAGCCTATAGTCCTCTTTGGACTATGGGTTCCAATCCAACCTAGTCCATTTGCTGCATGTTATCCCCTACTCTCTCATCCAAACATTTCCTGTATCTCTTCTGCTGTCCTGTCCAATAAAGGCAAAAATGGCCTTAAATAAATAACTTAAAAGGGGTAATGGGTCAGCTGTGGGTCAGACAATTAAAATAAACTAGGATGTGGAGAACTTACTGCTATATTACATGAACAAATGTCCATGCTGTGAGTACACATTTTCATCTTGCAACGCATGGTCTACTAGGAAAAATGCGCACAGTGCAAATTCAGCAGGGGCAGGCAGGCACAGAAGAAGTGGTCATTACAAGGTTTTATTAGTATTAGGTAGAGTTGACCTGTGGGACAGATTTACTGCCTAGATTAAAGATTAGAGTGCTTGCAAAGCATTTTAATAATAGACGAGGCTGGTTAATGGCATAATGAGTCGATGTATATGTATGATTAGGCTATTAACCATACATTTTCCAGGTGCTTTTTTGATTCCATACTTGATCCTTCTGGTGCTGGAAGGAATGCCTCTCCTCCTGCTCGAGTTTGCCATTGGCCAGCGACTCAGAAAAGGCAGTGTGGGAGTTTGGAGGGCCATCAATCCCTATTTGACTGGTATAGGTAAGCAAAATAGGATCTAGAACATTTTACACAAGGCAAAGACGAAACAACATTGACAGCAAAATCAATCTGTAAAAAGAGACTAAAAAAGATCCAAAGATTCAAATGTTATCAGCATTAAGACCTCATAAAGCTTAACATAAATAATTGCCTCCTCCTGACTGTGAAACTGTTAATTATTCTGTCATACACAGGTATAGCCTCCATGCTGGTGTCGTTATTGATTGGACTGTACTACAACACCTTAATAGCCTGGATCATGTGGTATCTCTTCAATTCCTTTCAAAGCCCGCTGCCTTGGTCCCAGTGCCCCCTCAATGACAATGGGACAGGTATTTGAAATTAATCACAGGGATACTTACGCACAGCATACTATCCAAACTTCATTCATGATGAAAACATTTGCCCCTACAGGCTTTGTACCAGAGTGTCAACGTAGCTCAACTACGGATTACTACTTTTACAGAGTAACTCTAAATAGTTCGACCTCTATCGTTGAATCTGGTGGGATTCACTGGCCCATCGTAGTCTGCCTGCTAGCTGCCTGGACAGTCATTTGTATCTGTTACATACGGGGGATCAGCACCTCAGGCAAGGTTTGTCAAACTGTCAATCAAACAACTTGCATTATTGAATCACAGCTGTAAAATCATTAAGCGATCTTCTTTCCTTTCATGACCTCAGGCGGTGTACGTCACAGCCATCCTGCCTTACATAGTGCTGGCCATCTTCCTGATCCGAGGACTGACTCTTAAAGGCGCCTTTACTGGAATAAAGCACCTCTTTACACCTGATGTATGCTATGATAAAAATAAAGACAATGTTTTATCTGCTATTTATACACAGAGACATTACAATGTGTACCTCCCCATGCAGGTTAATGAATTGGCAAATCCAACAACTTGGCTGAACGCAGGTGCCCAAGTGTTTTACGCCTTCAGCTTAGCATGGGGAGGCCTCATCTCGTTCTCAAGTTACAACCCTATTCAGTAAGAGACACTTATCAAAAAAAATACTAAGCAGCTAAATTCTTATTTAGATCACTTGAATTGAATGAAATATATAAACTATTCTTAGCTATGCTGTGTCCTGAACTTTTACATTTGTTCTTGTCATAGCAACAACTGTATGAAAGACGCAATGATCCTGACAGGTGTAACTGGCTTCACTTCAGTCTATGCTGCCACAGTCACCTACACCATTGTTGGCTTCAGAGCCACCGAGAGATATGACAACTGTATCAGCAAGTAAGTATATGCAGGTTTCTATATTTTTGCAACAATACTGATCAACCTTTTTTTTCCCCTTATTTTTCTTCTTACCCCTCATGCTTCATAAAAACAGGTCCTCTTGAACAGTAAGGGCTCAAATATACTTGCTTTTGAACCGTAGACAACTTGCTGCGTCATAAACGTAAATGTTCATATGCTTGCCTTTGTAAAACACGTGTTACTGGGGGATTCCTCTGGAGAGAGCACGACACAATTCAGACGGCGTAAAACAACGAAGTAGAGATGATCTGTTGCCAGCTATTTTAGCATGCATTTTTGGATGCTATGCAACAGCAATGACACATCATAGCGCGGGGTAGTTGAGGACTTCTTTTAAAACTTTCCGCAACTGTTGTAGCGGCTCTCTGGTGTCTCCAAAGTTGTCATTTCTGGTCTCATCACCATACAACTCTGCACTGCACCTAGCGGTTATATGCATACTGAATTTCTCCGTCTGCACCCACCCCCTCCCCTCTGTGCTCCCTCCAAAGCCTCACTTTTGGCCCCTCACTTACATGCACAAGTGCCATTGGTCCACCTCAGCTCATGCTTTGAGCATGCATGGGGTAGAGAACGAGCAGGGAGACAGGGAGGTGTGATTGGTTCATCAAATCGGTACCTTGTTTTTACAGGCTTACAACTGCTACAGATGACTGATTTTCTTCCCTCCTTTTTCAGAGCTCATGAATTATTAATGCCTGTCAGGACCTAAATACAATTTCAACCAAAATCTTATAAAGTGTATCTTTAGAAAATTACCAACACTGCCTTTAAGGGGTTCAAAAAGTTGACATCAAAATACCGCCATAAAGTTCATTATAAATTACACTTTCACTGAATCTAATCCGTATTATTTCTATATACTAAATGCTTAAAGGGACTTTTTTGGATGAATAAAGTCTCTTAAATTTGAAAGAGACAATTATAAAAGAGAGAAATGCACCAGCTTTACCAAAAAGGGAGTGGAGGCAGGTTTCTATACTTACACTAGGACCAAGATTGACTATCTTTCTTGTACTTTTTCTTTTAACAGAACATAGAATGTTCAATGGGTACAGTCATGTGAGTGATGAAAGCAATGTTTCTGAATCCTGACATACTTTTTTCCCCAGTAACATCCTGACATTATTAAATGCATTTGACCTTCCTGAAGACAGCATCACTACCAGCAACTATGAGGCAGCCTTTACTTATTACAACAGCTCCAATCCGGATACTGTTCTTGGATTGGACATCAAACCCTGTGACATGCAGAAACTTCTCAGTGAGGTGACCGAATTGATGAATATCTATCACATTCCAAAGCTATTACATCTAATCTTTATTCTAAGAGCTACAACTATTGATATATATACATCTATTATCATTAATCTCAATATTAAAGTGAATCTAATAGAGCTGCTCAACTTCGACCTCTGTAATTATTCGTATCTTATTCGTTGCTGTTTTTGCATGAGTCTGGTTCTGTTCAAGGTTTCTGCCTCTTAAAAGGAAGTTCTTCCTTGCCACTGTAACTTTGCTAAATGTTGCTTAGTGCTCATGATGGATTCATGTTGGGTCTTATAATATAACAACTTTTACCTACTTTTTGTAAAGTGTCTTGAGAAAACATTTGATTGATTGATTGATTGATTGATTGATTGATTGGTTGTTTGGTTGATTGATTGATTGATTGATTGATTGATTGATTGATTGGTTGATTGATTGATTGATTGATTGATTGATTGATTGATTGATTGATTGATTGATTGATTGATTGATTGATTGATTGGTTGGTTGATTGATTGATCGATCGATTTATTGATAATCTGTATTTTGTTCATCAAATGCTTTTCCAGGGAGTAGAGGGAACAGGTCTGGCCTTCATTGTGTTTACAGAAGCCATCACCAAGATGCCTGGTTCTCCGGTTTGGTCTGTCCTCTTCTTCATCATGCTTTTCTGCTTGGGAGTCTCAAGCCTTTTCGGCAACATTGAGGGGGTTGTTGTCCCACTGAAAGACCTGAAATTGTTACCCCAAAAATGGCCACAAGAAGCACTAACTGGTATTAAGTTATTGTAGTTAAAATACTTTCCACAGTGACTCTGCAACCTTAAGTAGTTACCAGATTTCTGAATTTGTACTTTAACTAGTTCGTGTTCATCTGTGTTTCAGGATTAACATGTTTTATCGCCTTCATCATCTCCCTCCTGTTTGCTCAGCATTCAGGGCTATATTGGGTAACTCTCTTTGACAACTTTGCTGGATCTGTTCCACTTCTGACTATTGGATTGTTTGAGATGATAGCTGTTGCTTACATCTACGGCATGGACAGGTGAGTAAGGATACTGTTTTTGTCTAATGTGGTGTTGTTTTGTGTGTGTTTTTTTTGCCTAAATACTTTTGTTCAAGGTCAACTGTTATTGATATAAATATTAAATGTTATTGGTGTAAAGATTCTTAGATTCTTAAAAATGTAAAGATCTAACTGGAACGGTCCGCAGAGAGCTGGTGGGTAATAATGTTATACAAACCGGTCATGGGTCAGAATGGACTACAGCTTCTGCTTCAACTCTATTCACTGAGTTGAACCGGTGCCCCACTTAGGTTTTGCTTTGTTGTTAATGTGGCACCCTGGGTATTTTAATAGCTAAGACTATGCCTGTGATTATTGGTTATCAGTTATATTATTACATTGGTGCCCCCCACATTGTCATAATTCAGTGTGCGTAACATTCATACTATGCTCAGTCCTCAGTCTAGCAAGACTCTTACATTGACCTTTTACTTCTCTCAAGAACCATGTTAGCCATTTCGCTTGGCAGTTAGTAGTAGATGACTTACAAGCAGAAAACAACAAGTGCCTTATGGGAGGCGATTAACAGTTGTCATGTGGACCTAAAATGAGGGGAAGACAACTTTCTAAAAGTCTGCCCTTCTGTACACTTTGTAGAAAAGAGATTAAGTACAAAAGCATCAAACAAATCTCAGCTGGTGATGTGGTGTGGCAAAACTTTTGCTGAGCTGCTCAAGCATTATCAATAAGCAGCACAAGCAGACCGAATATTAAAGGCAGAAATTTGCAACATTTTACACATATGGTCATTCCATGTAAATTTACATACAATGTGCAGCTACAAGCAAACTAAAGAACGCTACCATCAGTGCTGCTAACACAACAATGCAGCTTGAGACAAGGACTTAGAACACCGTACAGTTAGTTAAAATGGCTTTAATCGGCGCTTCCTTGGGGAATCAAATCTTTGGTCTTAATTGTAAACAGTAGCTTTCAAAGCACATAAAGTGAGATCTACCTATAAGATAACGTTTCACTTTTATATACACAACGTTCAAATGTTTGTACAGGGGGCCTAGTTTTTTTATGAAGCAATATAGATTTGAATGAATCATCTCTTAATTGTAGCCTAGGATTTGATATTGTCTTGTGAAGGAAGGTGAAGGTGTATCATTTAATAAGCTTATTGTATTTTTATTATTAACTATATTTCTGTCCCTATGTGTGTCAAGTTGTCTCTGTAAAATAGATGACAGGTACTTTTCTAAAAAGTCAAAGAGTGTACTCTAACCTAAATCAAACCTTCTTGTGTGGCAGGTTTAATGAAGACGTAGAGTTCATGATTGGTTATAAACCCTCCTTCTTCTGGCAGGCTTCACTGAGGTTCACGAGCCCTCTGATCGTTGTGGTTATTTTAGCTTTCTACCTGGTTACTCTAGGCCAAGAAGAGTTCACTTACTTAGTCTGGGATCCAGAATCTGTGAGTTCACAAGCCCACTGAATGAATCTGTGTTCATATAAAAATTTTTTTTTTTTATTTTAGTAATTGTTGATATTAAAGCATACAGTGGAGATAAATAACATGGTCTTTTTGTTTAACAGGAGAAGTTTCCAGCTCTGGCATCAGTACCTTACCCTTCGTGGATCAATGCTGCTATCTTTCTTTTGGCAGGAGTCCCCAGTCTGGTAATGCCTGGGTATGCACTTTGTAGGCTGGTCTATGTGAGCTGCAAAAACAGAATCCAGGGGAACAATTAGACAAATTCCTTAAATCAATTATAAAAAATCTTTAATGAAGAACTCAAATTCTAGGATATATAAATCTCCACTTTTTAAAAATATGTTTTTTTTATATATCCCATTCTTCTTAAGCTTTGTTTGTCCATCTGGGCAGGCTACATTTTATACTTTTCAAGAAGGTTTTCGCATATCCAACTATTTCATAAAGTAGGTGCGGAGAGTGACAAACTATTACTTTTATGATGCAAGCCCGTCTCCCTGCTCTCTGCTGGTCTGCTCTCCTCCATACTGGAGGCTCCTGGTTACTTGCCTGCATTTGCATATAAGACAGACATTGACTTTCACATTTTTTAAAGTATGAAATGTATTACTTGAAAAGATAAATCACAACTTTTCAGTCCCTCTGAACACACTTGACAACGGTTCAGAGAGACTGAAACGTTGTGATTTTTAAAAAAATTGGTGATACTTATCAAGAGTAGTATGCGGTAGTATTTTCTTATGTATGTGTATGAGATAGTAGTCAGCCACTGTGCCTTTGTGACAAGCTACCAAAGAGCAGAAACAAAGCTACTCAATACATACCAACAGTCCAATTCTTTCTGATACATCCTCATGCAACTCATAGTCTGAGAGGTTTTTAAAAATGCATGGACGAATCTTCTCCACACCCACTTGGATGTGCATTGATCTTTCACCAGTCATTCCGACATTATTTCTCCATTTTCCCCTTTAAAAGTTTATTTTTCATGTGTTTTTATGAATGATTAATTTTTGCGTATTTAAAAATGAACCTGAATGGGCCCTCAATTACTACAAAAGAGTGTTTTTTATTCTGAAGTCCATACTACTTCTCAGGGAATGTTTAATTGAATTGATGCACACGTTCCTTTTATCGATACTGTGTGTAATTTCATTGTTAAACTCTGATGAATTTGTTTTGTGTATTTCAAGACTGTTTTCTAGTTTTAGTCTATACTGGAGTTATTGACAAGTCATATTTTATATCAATGTAGCTTGGTTGTTAATATTAAATGTTTTTGTTTAAATTGATTCTCGGTTGTTTTCATTGAGCGTATGTAACCATGCACAAAGTCATTAAAGCCAGGAGATCAATTCTAACAGAGCACAACATATTGGGTGGGAAATATTTCATGCAAGTGATAAGGAAATTTGTATGTCTGTTTAAAAAAAATGTTGCTTTAGGACTGTTTTCTGACCCAGAACCAGCGGAAACTCAGACTGCTATACAGACTTGTACACATTGTGTGCTGTCTCTTCAGTCGATTTAATGTTCTCGTAACTTAAGTTGCTGCTATACTTTCCATCCACAGAGCACTTTGATGGATGCAACAGTGGGATTTGTAGTTTTTTCAGCACAACATATTGGGTGGAAAAAATTTCATGCAAGTGATATGGGAATTTGTATTGATTAAAAAAAACATGCAAC